GACACTCATGAACTACAAATACTCAAGGAATGAGTAGTTTATTTTTATATCATTACAATTCCATACAAGAAAGAAAAAAATCAAAACATAGAGACCCTCATGAAATACAAATACTCAAGGAATGAGTAGTTAATTTTTATATCATTACAATTCCATACAAGAAACAAAAAAAATTAAAACATAGGGACACTCATGAAATACAAATACTCAATGAATGAGTAGTTAATTTGTATATCATTACAATTCCATACAAGAAAGAAAAAAAATCAAACATAGAGAGACTCCTGAAATACAAATACTCAATGAATGAGTAGTTAATTTTTATATCATTACAATTCCACACATGAAAGAAAAAAAATTAAAACATAGAGACCCTCATGAAATACAAATACTCAATGAATGAGTAGTTAATTTATATATCATTAAAATTCCAAACAAGAAAGAAAACAATCAAAACATAGAGACCCTCATGAAATACAAATACTCAATGAATGAGTAGTTAATTTATATAATTTATCATTAAAATTCCAAACAAGAAAGAAAAAATCAAAACATAGAGACCCTCATGAAATACAAATATTCAATGAATGAGTAGTTAATTTATATATCATTACAATTCCAAACAAGAAAGAAAAAAATCAAAACATAGAGACCCTCATGAAATACAAATACTCAAGGAATGAGTAGTTAATTTTTATATCATTACAATTCCATACAAGAAACAAAAAAAATTAAAACATAGGGACACTCATGAAATACAAATACTCAATGAATGAGTAGTTAATTTGTATATCATTACAATTCCATACAAGAAAGAAAAAAAATCAAAACATAGAGAGACTCCTGAAATACAAATACTCAATGAATGAGTAGTTAATTTTTATATCATTACAATTCCACACATGAAAGAAAAAAAATTAAAACATAGAGACCCTCATGAAATACAAATACTCAATGAATGAGTAGTTAATTTATATATCATTAAAATTCCAAACAAGAAAGAAAACAATCAAAACATAGAGACCCTCATGAAATACAAATACTCAATGAATGAGTAGTTAATTTATATAATTTATCATTAAAATTCCAAACAAGAAAGAAAAAAATCAAAACATAGAGACCCTCATGAAATACAAATATTCAATGAATGAGTAGTTAATTTATATATCATTACAATTCCAAACAAGAAAGAAAAAAATCAAAACATAGGGACACTTATGAAATACAAATACTCAAGGAATGAGTATTTAATTTATATACCATCACAATTCCATACAAGAAAGAAAAAAATTAAAACATAGGGACACTCATGAAATACATATACTCAAGGACTGAAACGGTAAAGTATCAATTTGTCCTTAATATTATATAGATTTCCCGGCGAAATTCGTGAGTTTGTCATTCGAATTCATTTAATTTGCATTTAAGTTTATAGCGCAGATCGGCTTTGCCATGCAGATTATCATTCAATTATCCCGTTTTGTATTTAATTTAGGATTAAGGTCGAAGGGTTTCGTAGATCTGTCGTTTAATTTAGAAACTGCTCAACTAGCATTCACATTAATCGTCACTTGTCGAGACGTCATTTTTATCATTTAAATTAACACCTGTCATTCGTATTTAAAATATGTTCATTCAAGTTAAAAGTGTTAAGGGGAGAAATGCAACACACGTTTACGTTAATGAATCATGCTGAAAATGTGTGACTCTATTCCCTACCCCAGTCACAATATTGTACCCTTCCTGTATAAGGAAATTATGATGACATTATGATGACATTATGATGACATTATGATGACATTATGATAAATTTATGATGAAAAACAAGACAAACAACTTCCTTACATGCAAATTTACACACATTTTATGGAGACCATCAAGTCAGTAGATGTAAGTCTTCTTCTTTTCTTAACAATCAAACTTAAATGCTGATGAATATCAGATAACTCTAATAAATATAAGTGTATAAATACAAGAAAATAGAATATGATGAAATACACATGACAGAAACAATCTTGAAAGAAAAAGAATGAGCTATAAAAAGTGTGTTATAAACCAAAAATGTATACTGACCATCAATTTAATTGAACAAAGTGCTAATTTGAATGCTACCATTAGAATGCTAGAAGTATACCTTCGTGATGTCAGAAAATCGTGTTGTGCCAAATCGAATGACCAAATATCAAAAGAAGCACATTGTTCATTAATTTGAATGAAACATACATAGATTATAACAAAAACTTCATAGATTTGAAAACTAGAAAAAAGGAATATGAACCCGAGATATACCTGACAGCACTAAAACCGTCGAATTTAAAATGCAAGACAAAATAAGAATAATATTAAATTCATAAAGTGCCTTTCCATCAAATACAAAGCGAATGAACTAAAAATACTTATAAACAAGTAGAGACAGCATTACCATACGAAGCTTACTTTAACAACAAACCGGGAGGAACATATTAAACGAAAAAGGTGTTTTCAGACACTTCTTGAAAACTGTGAGAGTATGACAATTCTTAAGTACAGGGGGTAAGGAGTTTCAGGTTTGGGGAGCAGGAACGGAAAAAGCCCTGTGACCTATTATGTTGACTGGTTCGAGTGTCGGTAAGTGTTTTACTGTATACTGGGTGATCGTGTATTATACATGCATGTGTGCAAACGGAATAGATCACCTCGGTATGCACGTGTCTGAATATTGAAACACGTGTAAGTGAGAGTTAAGATCTTATGTAATAATAATAATAATAATAATATACCATACTTTAATAGCGCATATCACAATATGTCTCTATATAAACGCTGTAAGAAAGAGTAAGAAGGAAAGGTGGATAGAGTAACATAAGAAGAGTGAGATATGCTCAACATACTTCCTCTCGTTAACATTGGAAAGTATTTTAGAAAAGAAATGTTTTAAGACGCGCCTTAAAGTTGTCAACAGTCTCAAAGTTTGTTTAGATTTTCCGGTAGAATTTAGTATTTATTTGTGGAATGGTGAGGAGAGACTTTTGGAAAGATCTGAGGGTTCTGTTTGGACATATTGATTAAGTAATTCCAATCATTAACGCGAAACCAGTGAAGATCAGTGATGAGAGGGGAGACGTGGACAATTTTGTTGTACGCTAAATGAGCCGTGCTGTTTTATTTTGGAGGAACTGAAGGGATTTAAGATCTTTAAGTGATATACCATGGAGTAGTAAATAACAGTAAATATGAACAGGTGGTGCAGGTGAATTGATTATGATCGTCAATCTTAAGATGGACATGCTGTAAGGCTGAGGGTGCTTTAGAGATGCAGCAATCATGAATTTTGTCTTTTCTAAATGGGTACCCGGTAGCGAATTTTTTTTTCCCAACAGGTTTACCTATGAGAGTAAAATCCTGCCTCCTGATTGGTTCAGAGGTATACGCGTCATGAATATTCACGAGCTGAGTTCACAGCACTGTGGCTGAGCTGCAGTACCTAGTATATGTATTACGTATGCGCGTGGACTTCAGTTTTGCTGTCCATTTAGGTGTACAAAATGTATGTGAGCTAGCTGTGGTGCGAGGGGATTTTTATTGGGGGAAGGGGGGGGGGGGGTCTGTTTGTTTGTGAACATTTCTGGTTATTCTGGTGCTTGGTTTATATAGTTTTACACTGCGGACTTTTTTTCTCAAAGAGTTCACTTACAGTACACACACTAATATTCCAATTTCACACATAGGCTATACATACAAAGTTACAAACACTATCTTTCTCTCTCTCTCTCTATAAACACAGACCCACCCTCATGTATTTACAAACACATAAGCAACAAATGCACACACTAGCTGTCAAGAATACACAATAGACACACACAAGGGGTATGAATTATCTTATCAGGATGGTCCGACATGAGTTGGATGTGGGTCAAAGCCACTGTGTTGCTCTGAGCATGATATCTTGACAAACATTTAATATTATCACCCGTAACTGAAACCAACACACAATTAATATCACGGTATTAGTCTCTTTTTTGTTCCACCAAGCTAATTTTTGCACGTTGCACAAATGCACTTCTCAACACGAAATATTTCACTAAATTTTTCACTCAAAATTAATTCAGCAATGCTCACTTTTAATCACTTCACTTATATCTTATTTAACATTGAATACAATGCAGTTGCATGGGTTGTTCTTTTATTTTGTTAACTCGGCAGAGGCCACGGTCATGTTCAAGCATTTACGCTTACGACATGTGGTCTCCTGCTTTTTCCTTTTGTATGAAACTTTTATTTTAACTAGAAACAAATTTTGTCAAACTTACATGTTATTCATTATATTTATTTGTATGTTTCTTTGTAGTGATATGAAAAAGTGGAAATAAAACAAAACAAACAAACATATCAGTGGTTCTGGTTCCTTTGTGACAGATGAACCTGGCCAAAGAAAACAAAGGACATAAAGTAATATTATACAGGCTCTATATGTCAAAGACAAGCTTTTCCATGCATGTAGTGTATAGCCTACGTACTATAGCTGCGCTGCATCAACGAACTCAAACTTGGATTTCGATGAGCTGCATGAGCAGCTTCGCCTTGTGTCACGCGCATGCGTAATACTACTAGTATCTTTCAGCTCAGTCATGAATATTCATGATGCGTATACCTCTGAACCAATCAGGAGGCAGGATTTTACTCTCATAGGTAAACCTGTTTGGGAAAAAAAAATTCGCTACCCGGTAGGATGCTACCGTCATTGTTGGTCAAACAGTTTTTGAGCGTCAAGTAACGCCTGGCTGGAATGTTCCCCAGGGAGTGGAGATTGTGCACACATTGTGTGCGGGAAAGCACTGTATCCAATGACCAGGGTAATAGTATATTTGTAAAGCGCTTAGAGACATTTGTATTAAGCACTATATACAAACTAAATATTATTATTATTATTTTCCTGATTAAGTTTTAGTTTATTAGCCAACATCCATGACTGAACATAAGACATAATCTGTTGGAGTTTGCGTAGTGTATTGTGATGCTTTGGGGGAACCTTCGGATTATGGGCGCAGTATATCTAGATGTCGTCGGTATAAATATGGTTTCGGACATCATAATTATGTACGATATCTACCACTGGCTAAACGTACATGTTTAAGCACTGAGGGCCGATCCGGCACAGAGCAGTAGGGGACGCCATATTCTAGACAAAGTTGTATTATTGTATTGTATTTTGTTGACAGTTTATACCTTAACAATAATATTGAGAGTGTCCCTCTTTTTTCTTCTTTTGCTGAGTGTAGTAAGGGGTCCTGATTGTATGACTTTGTGGGATGTCCTGTTTCGGTATCAAATCAATTATCGATAGAGATGGAGAATATTGTCCATTCTATGGCCCTTCTAAATTCCTTCAAAAGGAACTTGCTGATAGCCGCTGATATCAGGTAAGATACGAACAAGCTTGACTACACCCATCATGATTGCCATAGCAACCAGTGTTGCGATCATTCCAAGGAGGAGCACCGCAAATGGGTTGTAGGAAGACAAATCTGTGGTTATTGGAAAATATAAAATATGGAAGAACAATTGAATGTGAATTAGAGATATTAACATGCGTATCCAAGGGAATAGAGACTGACCCAAACCCCTCCTTCTCCTCCGCCAGGTCTATCCCCTCCCCATTTTAGTAGAAAATAGAAGTGATCATCTGCTAATGGTATATTTCCAGATATTCCTATCCTTATTTTGTGCTGTTAAGGATTATCATAACTCAGTGCGCTTAGTTATCTATGAGGAAAGAGTTACATTTTCAGGTTTTTTAAATGGTTGTTGTTACAAAATAGTACATACCATTTTAGTAGAAAATAGAAGTGATCATCTGCTAATGGTATATTTCCAGATATTCCTATCCTTATTTTGTGCTGTTAAGGATTATCATAACTCAGTGCGCTTAGTTATCTATGAGGAAAGAGTTACATTTTCAGGTTTTTTAAATGGTTGTTGTTACAAAATAGTACATACCATTAGTAGCCATATCGCTGGTTGAGCGACGGATGTGGATCGGACCATTACTGATGGTCTGAGTGGACATAACGGACAAAGATCGACGTTTGCGGAGTGGAGTTTGACCATTTGGAGGTTCATCTTCTGAGGGGCATCCTGCGTCTCGAATCTCTTGAGCCTCTGCTGCACGACAGACCTTCACTGAACAGTGAATGTACACCTGAGAAAAAGATATGATGATGCATGCATTACAAAACATTTTGTAATACTATCTAAAATTCCAAACACACTTGGTTTCAAATTTTCCCAAATTGTTAAAGGGGAAGTCCACCCTGATACTAGTTTTAATAGAAGCAGAACAAGTTATACATTTCTTGAAGGTGAAATCAATCAAAAATAAATTGGCTTCTCTGTGATGTATCTTGTGAGGTCCCCTCCCATTTGCCCCGTACTACAAATCTTCAGATATTATCAACCAAACATTTATCCTCAATATGGTTATTGCAAATATGTTTTTTAAACAACCCCTGTATGAAACATATCAATTCCGTCATCAATAACTAAGAAAATTCAGATTCAGATTAAGATTAATTTTTAGGAAATTCAATGTACAGCGCAAAATGGAAAAGAGCTCGCAAGGTAGTTACAGTGTTGCACATTTGTGTTTCACTGACACTGATGACAACTTTAATTTTGTGTGTAACTTTCCTATTTTTAATCGGCTATTGCGCAAACTGTCACTTATTTGTTTCTCTACTCAGGCGCGTACGCAGGATTTTTTCAAGGGGGGGGGTTTAACATTTATAAATCGGGCCGAAAATTTCGCAACGACTCAGCCGACCGCTGAATAAGCGGGGGGGGGGGGGGGGGGGGGGGGGGGGTAAGAGGTCACCTTTTTTTTTTTTTTTTTGGTCCCAAAAAATCGCAACGACTCAGCCGACCGCTGAATAAGCGGGGGGGGGGGGGGGGGGGGGGGGGGGGGGGGGGGGGGGGGGGGGGGGGGGGGTAAGAGGTTTTTTTTTGGGGGGGGGGGGATCTCGAAATTTGAAAATTTGACATTTTGCTCCGTTGGGGGGGGGGTAAGGTCAGCTTTTTTAGGTCAACCATGGGAATATTTTTTATTTTTTTAATTTAAAAAAAAAAAAAAAAAAAAAAAATCCAAAAGGGGGGGGGGGGTTTAGAGAAATTTATGGGGAGGTTTACACACAAAAAATTACCAAAGGGGGGGGGGGGGTTTAATCCCCCAAACCCCCCCCCCCCCCCCTGTGTACGCGCCTGTCTCTACTAATGTTCTGCTTTCATTAAAATCAAATTGATAGCAGGCTGGACTTCCCCTTCAAGGTGGGCTATTGTGATCAGAGACAACAACAGGCTTTACAAAAAGTCTTGTTCAAATATGCAGTTTTTGGAAAGGATGACGTAAAGTGTGATACGATTCAAGTTTATGAATCTCATACAATAGAGCTCAGTGAATGCGTTCAAGACCTTGGTTGCACGCAGTTACCATTCATTTACACGTATATTACTAAACCCAAAGAGACGGGCAGATATGACTTAAGATAAAGACCAGTTGTGGACATGCGATTACATTGTAAAAGAAACGTTGTGGAATCGATCAGAAAAGGTTGATCATCTAGCATATAAGTATTGGTGTGTAATGCAAGGTTCTGGAATCATCAAAATGATAAGAAATTTGGCCTAGTCTTGGTAAAGTAACAAGCACTGTACACATAAAGATGTATATTGGACTACGCGATACATGCGTGACACGTGCGCGATATCTATCAGGTCCAAAAGATATAATATTCCACCAAATATATCAATTAGTAGGCAGTTTTCTCGGCAAAATTTGTATCATTACGTATTAGTCAAAACATATTCTTTCACATGATTGGTAATAAGAGCTTCCATTTCATTTTTGAGAGGGGGGCTTTTCCAAAACTGGTCTCGAGTTACCTTTAACTAAGAGCGTAATTCTACAGGTTTTTTTTTTTTCTTGTAATATACTCATGAAATGGGTAAAATATTTTACCTCAGTGTAATCTCCAACAAATGCAAATGACTTCAAAGAAAAGCCTTCTCGATGCAATCCAAGGCTACGATTGATAGCAACTGTGTCATCCTCTGGGCAACTGTAGAAAATATTGAAAACAATGTACTCGAGTTAGGAGAAGTCTTAGCCGTTGTCCCTCGGCTAAAAAAATGTGTACAATTTGTACGATGATTACAACAACGATTACTATTACTACTACTATAATTGCTACGAATACCACTACTACAACGACTTATTTTGTTTACCCATAGAAGCTTGACTTATTTCGTTCCATTGCTTCTTTCCGTCTATGGGTTGCACAAACTTTCGAGAAAAATCCAGTCCTGATTCCCCCAAAGGGTCAGGTATAACGTTTGTGAAATACGTCCCTTTCAACGCCAAAGTGTTGGGTCAAGTTTACCAGACACTTTCTGAAAAACCTACAGCAAATCTAAGAAAACTCATGTCTCGGCCCAACACTTCTAATACGAGATACATACATTTACGTTTAAAGAAGGCTAGTGATCAACATTTCGTTATTTTTTTTTTTATCTCCTCACAAAATGTGTTGCTCTTATTTATATTCATTTGGTAACCAGGCAGGACTGAATATTTTTGCCACTAATATTTATTGTAATATTTTGTATTCTATATCCGTATCTCAAGAGCATCTTTGATTTTTTGTGTGGACTATTTGCATTCAGTTTACCCGACCTTTAGTGAATATTGGGGGATATATTCACAAAATATCGTGTAGCCCGACAACATGAAGCACGCGACCTTTCGCGTTTATGGGGGTAAGTTTGCATGAAGGTTTGTGGAACCCGACCCGACGTGAACATCCGATAAAACGAAGTAAGCCGATATTCCTAATCAGCATCAAAGCCAATCTTCATGAGTGCCTTGATATTACTATTGACCCAGCAGTAAAACAGTATACCCATTAACACCTGGGTGGAGGATGGCAATTGTGGAATAATAGGGACTTTTAGATTGAGTGGACAAGAACATGACGAACGCCAACTGATCATGCGTGTCAACGTACTTAATTGCCCATGTTGACTACAATTAGAAATCTTTTAGATTGCACTCGACGATATACAGTCATGCATGCAGGAAGTAACACTATGAACATGACGGACAAAGAAAGAGGACAAAATATACAGTTCCTCATTCTACCCTCAACAAAAGAACATCCCTTCACTGCTATTATGTAAAAATGTGTAGAACAGGTGAATATGCATGTGACACCTCTTCCACACATTTTTACATAATAGCAGGGAAGGGATGTTCCTTTGTCTACCTGAGGAACTGTATATTTTATGCGCACGCGGCATACTAGTATCTTGAGCATGTAAAGGCGCTATATAAATATCAATATGTATTTATGTATGTACTAGATTTAAGAGAATCAAGGTTGACGCATTCTCGATCACCGAATGAGACGACGTAACGCATGCGCAGTGCCTTAAAATGACGTCACACGTTGCAGTCAAAGCTGTCGACGTGCAAATCTAAAAGCCCCTATTGTCTTGCTAAAAGACCTAAGAGCTGGACTTCGATTAAAACCCCTAACCTTTGGATTTAGAGTCAAGTGAATGAACCACTATACCCTCACTACATGATTCATTTCTTGAGGCTCATGCAATGTTGTACTAACCCTGAAGAAATTAGAGAGTGCTGTGGAGTGGTTTCGGAGTCTTCACTGGCTGTTGCCCAGCAGCGATCAATAACCACACCAACGTCTTGTACCGACTCAAGACGAACAGCAAAGAAGAGGTCCTTATAATGCCATACAACAGAGGACGTGTCCAATTCCAAATCAACAAAAGCATTTTTCTGGAACCTTTCGAGTCTCAGACTGAAGTCACCAGAGCCCTTGTCGCTAAAGGACACCTCACCAAGCTGTGGTCTGAAGGACCCACTGATGACTTCCTCTTTGTTAAGGCAACATTCAACCTTAACTTGCATTTGATAATTACGGGTGATTTCTGTACCGGCTTCCGGATCAGGTTTGCTGTATGTAATTACATTAAAGAATGTAATGGTGGTGTTGTCCTCCTGTAATGACACCAAGTAATACAAAATAAAATAATTTTACGAGAACAAAATAAAATCCAGTATCGAGTTCAATGGAAAAAAAACTAATGTATACATTGTCATGTATAACCCCTTTTTTCCCTTTAATTTTAAGATGACGCTGAGGCGATTGTTATGTCTCTGTCTTGTGATTTCATTACTGAATATGAACATCAGTAATACATGGAGTTACTGTTCGGGCAATATCACAGGTTATCTCGATAACAGTTTATATAAAACTCCTTCTTTTCCCCTTGTTATTTCTTTCGGTCATAATTATTTCCCTGTATCACAAATTACTTTATCACTGTCTCCCTCCCCTTTTTTTGTTCTCTCTCTCTCTCTCTACATTTCTATATCTCCCTCTTTTCCTCGCGCAATTACCCCCTGGAAAATTACCCCAAAAGGCCCCCCCCCCCCCGAGGACAATTACCCCCAGGAAATTAACCCCTAGGACAATCGGACAATTAACCCCGTGGACAATTACCTCTCAAGGAAATATACCCCCACCACTGATAATTACTCCCTAGGACAATTACCCCGTGGACGATTACCCCTCACCCCCGTTATCGAGAAAAAAAAGAAGGAAAAAAATGGAAAACAAAGAAGAAAAAAAGAGAAAAAATAACAATAATGAACTATACCAGCCATCTTCTAACCACCAATGCCAAGATACTGGTGTTACATTTTAATGTAATCACTAGGGGGCTTTGGGGGCTGAAGCCCTTCTCACGCCTTAAAATTAAAAAGCCCGAAATTCAAAAAGAAGGAGTAAAAATATGCTTTTAGTTGTCGTTTCATAGAATGAGCAGAAGGCGAGTATATCGTGTCAATTTGATGAATATGTACATATATATCATTAATAATAATACCAGTTAATATTGTATCCATCCATAATGTTGTTTAATGTGATGTAGTAAAAAACGGATAAATAAACGTTGTTGACTTCTGTGTATCAAACTCATTTTTCAAATTGATTTAATGTCAAGTGCCATTCTAGCGGAATAAGATGTAAAATAACATTATTATTAAAAGGTTATGATATTTCATAAGTTTACGAGGAAAAGACACAGAAACGTCAATAAAACGGCGAAATCGGACGCAGAGCAAGACAGATTCCGGGACTTTGACTATCGGTATACTTAAAATAATACAAAATATATCGTTATTTGGAATGAAAGTGAACAGATTGTATTAATGCCTGCATATCATGCCTGTAATAGCGAACGTCAAATCAAACATATTGAGGCTCTGCCTTGGACCCCACGCAGTTAGGGGCTGCGCTCTACTGGGACCACGCCCATGGTATTGGTAGCCATGGCGACACGAGTGATTCATACCAGTTATCATTTAAGGAGCCATACCTCTAAGATGGTGCCACATTCATTGTAGTTTGTAGTGAGAGTGATCTCAGTGCTAGAGCTGTCTACACCGGAGCAGGATTGGTCCAGAAAATGAACAGCAGATGCGTCACCTGGGACTAGCTGTTTAGCTATGTTGACGATCATTGAACTAGTTCCACACTCAACATATGTCACTGGTACAAGAAAATTGAAAGGAGCAAAAAGAAAATGTCAATTACGTCATCCTTAATTCTCATTTCATCTCAGGTGTCAGAAGCAAACATTGAATTGATAGGGTGTGTATTATTGTGTGGGTGAGGATGTGCGTGTTTTGTTTAGTTCATAAATATAATTATATTCCCTTGCTTTATTTGGCTCATTTAAATCCAAGCATGAATTTTATGTAGGTTGTTTTCTCAAACTAAAACGTGTTCTGTGTTATTTTTTATATCTAGTAGTAAATAACTGTGTATTATGTATTGTGTATATGTTTTTTTTTTTTTGTTGTTGTAATTTTTACCATGTACTTGTGACTCGCCCACAGGGCTCCTTTGTAAAGCAGGCCTTGTGGCTCTGAAAGGACTACCCTGTATTTTAAAGAAGACCGAATAAATAAATAAATAAATAATGCAGACGGGTTGTTCAAATAATTAAATGGCTAAATCATGAATAACAGGAATTTATCCAACACATACATTACAAATTCAAGATACTTACGCTTAACTTCACATGTAGTGCCTTCAAATCCTGCTGCACATGTGCAAAAGCCTTGCTCACAGGTTGCTCCATTGAAACAAGTGCTACTATTACATGCATCTGAAACAAATCAGAGAAAATAGCTGCCCTATTAAATTATATGGCACCAGAAAGTACGAAGGTAAAGACCAACTTGTAAAACAACTTTTGTCGCTTAGAGTACGAGTTAGATTAGCTATTATTGTTGCTACAATGCTACTGTTCTTTGTTGTTGGTATAAAATATCAATATAGGCATGGCGCGTGCTCTTAATGGTAATAGGGACTTTTAGATTGAGTGGACGAGAACACGACGAACGCCGACTGATCATGTGTGTCAACGTACTCAACTGCCCATGTTGACTACAATTAGAAATCTTTTAGATTGCACTGACGATAAACATGCATACAGGAAGTAACACTATGAATATGACGAACAAAGAAAGAGGACAAAATATACAGTTCCTCATTCTACCCTCAACAATAGGCCATTTTAATTCGTATTTGTAACCAAATTTAATGCATACGTCTTTGTGAAGTGCCTCAATACAAATTATTTCATTCACCTGATAAGAATAATAGTATTTCAATAGTAAGAATCCGAACTGCATACATTAGTTGTTGCCAGGTTGGACAAACATTATGGTTTGACCTACCTAGCAACACTTAATATATGCAGTTGCATTCTGACTATTGAAATACTATTATTCTTATCAGGTGAATGAAATAATTTGTATTGAGGCACTTCACAAAAACGTATGCATTAAATTTGGTTACATTACGAAACTGGCCTATTGCTGTGGTAGAAAATCCCTTCACTGCTATTATGTAAAACTGTGTAGAACAGGTGAATATGCATGTGACACCTGCTCTTCACATTTTTACACAATAGCAGGGAAGGGATGTTCCTTTGTCTACCTGAGGAACTGTATATTTTATGCGCACGCGGCATATACTAGTACCGGACTAGATTTAGGAAAATCAAGGTTGACGCATTCTCTTTTGCCGACTGAGACGACATGACGCATGCGCAGTGCCTTATAATGACGTCACACGTTGCAGTCAAAGCTATCGACGGGCAAATCTAAAAGTCCCTAATGATATAAAATAGATTCTCACGTATACAATCATTAGAATCCAACAAAACTTACACTGAATGTTCAAGTTTACAAATAAATGACGTGTGCCAAACGATTTTGCTAGCAAATTTATAGCGGCTGATTATTGGGCATAGATACATAAGGATATCAAGTATAAGAAGGCCCGACAACACTGGCCACTATGTGCAATTGAGAGTTGTGGTTTTTATTGAAGATGATTTCCAACAAGTTCTTGTGACGTTTATTTTATTTTACTGGTTCAAACAATCAATCTAGTGCAGGATAAACAATCTAGAATTAATAATATACATGTTCTCTCGACAAACGATGTCCATACCAGAGCTCAAGATTAACTTTAAGAAAACATTTTCAATATGTTTTAATAGACATATCTAGAATTAAAGCCTGTAAAAAAGGAATTGAAAAACAATAGACAGGTAGCTGTCCTTTAAAATCCAACAGTCAACAGGTTGTATCGTTTGTGAAATACATCTCTATTTTTTTTTTTGCCACAATTAAAACACAAAACATTTTTTATATGTTTTTTCATACCAACAGTCTAGAGAAACTATTGGAAATAAATAAGAAAACACAGTTGTTGGCAATAGAAGAAATTACTACAAAGCTTGCAAAATTATTATTTTAAAAAATTAAAAAATATTGGTCGAATTCCATAACTTTCGTATTAGTTATCCGATTTTTCTCAAACTTTTTTTGATTGGTTTGTCTGATTTTTTTGCTTCTATTGAAAGTAAGTTAATTTTGGAGTGGAAATGCCCTTTAACTGATCTTCTATAAGGTCATAATATGATGTCGGGATTTGTCAGCCACTTCTTGTGCAGAGCAACCCAGCCTAGCTATGTGGAGGAATCATTGAAATCAGGCCAGTTCAGTCCAATTCTTCTTTGTGACGTGAGAGATGATGAGAGTCCAAGTGTATGTCCACTGAGTTAAGTTAAATGTCCATAATAGTTGGCGCTCTCGTTGTATGGATTGGAGTGCAAAGTTCTGCGCTGGGCCATTTCCTATGGTGGCTCCTAAGGGACACGCAAACGCATAAATTTGACATATACCTATGCAACAAATTGTTTGTCTTTACGCCCAAGACGTAAAAATAAAAAAAATAGACATACTGATACCAGACGTGAATATTTGACGCAGATTTTCCACAGGATTTTCACGTCTGCGTGTCCCTTCAGGGCTAGTACAGAAAATGAAAACATTACCAAGCAAAGGTACACATCATTTTTTTTATTTTTCACATCTTGGACGTAAAAGACAAACAATTTGTTGCATAGGCATACATCAATTTTTTTTTATTTTCACTTCTTGGACGTAAAAACAAAAAATATTTGTTGCATAGGTATACTTCAATTTTTTGCGTTTGCGTGTCCCTTAGGAGCCACCATACTTTCCAGTCTAACGGACTAAGAGTGACATCGATGGTACAAGAACATACAGAATAACTCATCAGTGAAAGTTTAATAATTGAGCTTAAAGTAATTGTTGCAAAGATACAAAAAAGTTACTTGTTACGCTGTTCATGTAAGTGATTACGTACAATAGACTAAAAAACAAATAGATACAAAATGGCAAACATGGCAAATCTCAGTCAACCTCCTACACTCGACTAAAGGGAAATATTTCCGAGAACTACTGTAGAAAAGATTCAGACAGAAATTCACTCTATACAATGTTGCCTCAGGAATGTCTGGAAAAGATGAAAAGTTACAAACATCAATGCTTCTACAAGTGATTGGCGATGCTGCCTTGGAATTGTATATTGTGGAGGGTGAGAGCATGAAGCTTGAGAATGTGTAGAACAAATATGAGGAATATTGCATGCCGAAACATAATCTGACCCAATAAACAAATTCACGTAAAAATCATGTCAATATCAAGGTATCGACTCAATGACATGTACGTGATTGTGTTACGTTTATTGCACTAGAACACTAAAAAAAAACTCGTACACTAAATCACGCAATTGTCATGGCTTTCTTCGTTACCTATTAGACAGAAGTCTTCTGCGTCGCAAGTATGTACTCCTCCCCCGGGACACTGAGACGGGTCATTTGGCGGATCACATGGAACTATTGGAAAGAATTGGAAAGAAAACACAGTTGTTGACAATAAAATCTATTTCCTTATGTGATCTATCGAATATACAGTGAGATATAAAGTGGATGAGACAACCAATTAATGTGAAGCTTTAAAATTCCTTGTTCCTCCTATATATGGTGCTTCCTCTTCTGTGGAAATTACTACAGCTCGTCTACACTGGAATCGAGACCTACAGCCTTTACACACACAGCTAAAATGCATCGTATCTAGAGATGATTAGTATAAACGTGTTTAACTCAACAGTTTTAAACATGTTTATAGAAAATTTTCCCTGTGTGAACATCGTTTATACAATGTTGGGATAGATACGAAGTCGCGATTCATACGCCCCTAAAAGCAGGCGGATCGTGTTCTCGGAACAAAATCTGCCTAGCAGATATCGTGATCAGCAGCGGATATCGTACCCGCTACAACCAAATCTGCCGTTAGTGAACACGGCGGATAATGTGCATTGGCGGATTTTGTTCCTATATAGCTACAGGCAGTGGCGAACATGGCATACCGCGTCAGGGGGGGGGGGGGGGTTTGGGGGGAGGGTTTTTTTTTTTGGGGGGGGGGAGGGTTTTCCCCCCTCCCACGGTATTTTGATGTTTGCGATCGCGCGATTTCATGCATACCCGTACCTTACTTATGTTTTGTTGATTTGAAAAGTCTTCATAATTCGAAAAAGATTGTTTTATTGGGAGGGGGGGGGGGGGTTAGGGTTAGGGGTGTGACACCCAAATTTGCTGCCAACTTTTAAGGGTGCGACGTCATCCAAATTTGCCGATTAACAAATGCTTAGCATCTACCACCCTCCTTCCCTATCCTAAATGTTAATTATTCAATGGTTTAATTAGGCTCTTATCAAATTAAAAAACCTTTTGAAGTAATCATTACCCCCTATAATATTGAAACATGCAACTAATTTGTTTCTACATCGTGATCGACCTGAAAACAAATACAAAAAAGTAATTAGCCCCCTTTTTGTATCTGAATCCACATATCAGTGATAAAAAATAATCATGCGAGCGCGAGGCATTACGAACTGATTTTTCCCTCAACAGTGACAGGAACTGGGCTTATGAAGCCCTTCAAAATTTCTGTCGGCAAATGCGTCACTCTTTTCCTCTTTCCTTCCCTACTTCTTTCATTTTTTTTCTCTCTCTCTCTCTCTCTCTCTCCTTTTTTCTTTCTCTTTTTCTTTCCTTTCTTTCCCTTTTTCTTCTTTTCTTTCTTTTTCTTTTTCTTTCCTTTCGTTTCCCTTTTCTCTTTTCTTCTTTTCTTTCTTTTTCTTTTTCCTTCCTTTCTTTTCCTTTTCTCTTTTCTTCTTTTCTTTCTCTTTCTTTTTCGTCGGGGGGGGGGGGGGGAGGGGCAATCCGGCCCCTTCCCCCCCATAGGTATGCTAGTGGCTACAGGACATGGTCTGATAATTCTATCGTGAATAAAATGGCGGATTGCTAGACTTAAATTGTCTGATTTGTTCGTATTGGACATCGAATCTGTAGGCTATTCCGAAAAGCATCCCCCCCCCCTTTATTGCATTGACGCCCACAGGCGACAAAGCCTTGTTGTCTCTCTTTCTTCTTGTCCATTCTTCTTGTCCATCGTTCTAATTTTATGTTAAAACCAGCATAATTGACATTTTGGCATTTTTGTTTTATTTATGCCCGAGTGGGTCTAATGGCCTCTAGAGGCCTATACATAAGACCTCCTCCCCAACTGCTGTTTTAACAGAAATAAATCATAATTTAATTACGTATTTATTTCATTTCATTAAACATTTTTCCTGTGATCCAGTCTCTGTGCTTTTTCATTTTCTTTTTTTTCATTTATAACTAAAATGAAGGCAGATATGGGAAGGGTCATGATTGGTCAAAGCAAATTGACGTGTTTGTTTGGAATCTTTCAAACTTTTGTATTACTGCATTTGTTAGCCAAGAAAACCTTTTAGAATAAAACAACCTGACTCCCATAGTAGCGTTTTAAACATTGGTAAGCCCCCCCCCCCCCAAAAAAAAAAAAAACCAAACAGATTCCTTTGATTTTATATGATAAATTGCAAGAAATAGAAATTATCAACGGCTTCGATCATTTCTTTAAAAATAGATTTATAAGCTAATAAAACAATATAGACCTAATAAACTTAAATTTGTTTTACCCCTATTTTCAGACTATTCTCGAATCCTTACAGAGTATAATTCAGGTTATTTTGCCACCTTTAGAAGTTGTCCGCATCCAATAGACGAAAAGGATTATATTGTATTTCTTTATCAATTTAAAATTTGCCATTACTGTGCATCCCTTACAGATTTATAACATTTTTTTTATTCGGTTGTACTGATTACGAAACTTGAATTGTGGGGCCGGGGGGGGGGGGTGATCGAGGCTCTTTGCATCATCCCATATCCTCCCCTCATTTTTTTTTTTTGGGGGGGGGGGGAGTGAACTTTAAGGTCACTCTACATGATAGAAAAAACAGATTTTAAATATCATAAAGGCGCCTTGACAGTTAGGCACCTCATTTTGGATTGCGTACTCGGGATTTGAAGCTGTTGGGCGAAATGACCGAACATTTTCAGAATACAGAGCCGACTCTAGAGTTAAACAGTAAGGTCCAGACATCTTCCCCCGGCAGGTGACCATACCACCAGAAAGCTGGAAATCCCCTCTTTCAGAATATGTAATCAGCTAAGAATAACAAATTTCGGCCAAAGATAAATGCGCCTTGAGAGTTAAGCACCTCATTTTGAAAGGGATATCATGCCATTGTCCGGATTTACCGATATTTTCAGACCACAGAGCCGATATTAAAGTTAAACAATAAGGTCAAGACATGTTCCTCCGACAAGTGAAATGTACCACCAAAAAGCCAGAAGTTATTACTCATTACTCATTACATTTTCTAACGTGTTTAAACTGGATGGAGCGTGCGCTTTGATTGATATGACATGACCTTCAATGCGCAATGGCACTACTGGATATCCATGGTAACGTGTATTATAACTATTTTTGCGCTTTTTCCTGCAAAATCGTGCTTGCATCAAAAATTTGTGCATGTCAAGTGACGCGTATTGACCAATCACGATGCTTAAAATACTAGAGCCATTTTATAGACTTGTATAATACTAGACCAAATTTTTCTGTCTCTTTCGTTCGTTAGCCTCTGATTTGGGTCAGGTCAGCTCTCTCTTTAGAGACAGAACAGCCCTATACGCTTTAGTGTTCACGCTTTGTGTAAAGAAACGTTGCACCAAACTTGGAAAAACTACCGGCCACATTCCATATTTCACAGGATGCATATCCGGTGCATCTTATTTTGACAATTAGGTCTAGGCTTAACTACTTCGGTTCCACTTACCAACTTGACTGAAATAATCCGTTTAATGGTCCCTTTTTTAGGAAATTATGGGTCAAAATCGACATCCATGATAAAAATCTTGCAGGGGTAGTTTAAACTCTCGCTGCGCATGACGTCATCTAAATCTTATCCCTTCTAGTCTACGCCAAAGGGAAAATAATTATAACGGAATGACTGTGCATGTCATTACGAACTTGTAGCATTATCTTTCAAATGCCTGATTACTCTTTATCCCTCATTGTCCTGCTCATGGATCTTTTTACATGACTATATACGCCGTCTCCCTCTCTCCTTCTCTTTATCTATCTAATGCCATATTTCTCTCTCTCTGTCTCTCTCTGTCTCTCTGTCTGTCTCTCTCTCTTTCTCTCTTCATCTCTCCATATGAGATCCGTAACAAAACCTCCAGACTACCTCATTCGTCTTCAGTGACGAATTCATTTCACGTTTTTTTAATAGCGGTATAACTTAAAGGGCAAGTCCACTCCAAAGATAACTTACTTTCAATATAAGCAGAAAAATCAGACAAATCAATCAAGAAAAGTTTGAGCAAAATCGGGTAATTCATAAGGAAGTTATGAATATTGAAAAAGAATGTAAAACTAAAAAACAATGGAAATCCCTACACAAATTGCCAATTTGGTTACCAGTTTGTGACGTCATGTCCTCACTATTTACCAATTGCTTTATATAGTTAGATCACATTAATTTTTCGTTTTATCCCCAAAAACTTGATGTCCCCATGCCTTCGCCTAGGTGATGATTTGTATCATAATGCGTGCATGACATTGCACAAAATCTTTTATGAACTTTGAAGAATTGATACAATTTTGTGAATAATGTATATTCATAATTATTGACTTTTATCTTAATAGATTATCAAAATTCAGATTTTTCATGATTTAATTGTAAAAAAATACTCTATAGTAGTGCATCCACACAAAAACATATTACCATCGATCTAACTTGGATGCTGGTGTGAAGAAATAAGATTCTTGGGGGAAAAATTTATATTATCAAGATAAAGAAAACAATTAGACTCATAAGTGAGTTTCCAGTTTATCTTGTGCTTTTCAATGTTCCATAGTTTTAAAGCTTATCTACACTAGTGTGGCTAGGAGGGATTAGACCACACAGTGAGGTCACTGACAGGTGGCTATCTCATCAACTCAGCTCTCAAATAACATAAGAAATAGAGGATCATGGGAGACCAACAGGCACCGATTGGGGACGTTTTCTATATAGAGGGAGCAAGTAGCTACAAGTAGGACAGTGGGGCTTTAAATACTTTTTCAAAAATTCTTTCTTATTAATTCTTGAGGATGTTGATTATATACTGCAGGCAGAACCGACCTCGGATCTGCAATATTGTCCCGGAATATTGTCACACATAATGTTTGTTTGTTTACATAAATAGAATTTTATCAGTAATATGGAAAACTAATTCTTTATTTCCAAAGAGAAAAGTTCCGGTTACGGTATACAGAGACTGATCAAAAGAAACATATTACTGGAGTAAGATGTGTGATCATTAAACTACTTACCCTTACAAACAGGAGCTCCATCATCGTACTGTCCATTATTACAGGTGAGCGTAGATTCACCAATGAGCGTGAAACCCTCGAAACATTCAAAAGTTAAAACATCGCCGTGCTCGAAGGTTCCAGATCGACTACCGAAGGCTGGCGTACCCGGGTCTTCACAGCCTTGAAAATGAAGAAGAAAAAAACTAGTAAGAAAGAATGATGGAACGCGAAGCTGTATAATGGTCAGTGCATGTTCTTGGCCAGTGGCGTTACTACAGAATGGGCATGAGGATTGGGGGCACATGCCGAATGGTAAAGTAGGGAAACACTGGAGAGAAAAAAATTGAATAAGAAATATGATTGCAGTGCCCTCTCAATGCCAATACCCACAATGCAATACTGTTCATCACAACAATTCAAGCAAACTAACAAACAAGGCGCCCAATTCTTGGTATATACCTACTTTATTGCTTCATATTCATTCATTCATTCATTTCATTTATTTCATTTCATTCTCCATAAAAACATAAAAACATATAAACAATAAAAGATCGATTACAAGAAAAATACAAAGGGAAGGAGCAAACAAAATTTTATGGGAATGTGGGGTTAACAAAAAGGGCAATTAGCCTACTACGTCAACCCCTTAAAAGGTATACACTTTATTGTTGAGAAAAGAAAAAAGGAAAAGGAAAGCCAAGAGAATCTAAACACCAATACAAAAGAAGAAAAAAAAAAAAAAAAAAAAAGGAAGAAGGGAAGGGGAGGGGGAATACATTAAAAAGTGCATTAACTGAAACGTAACATCATTTATTTTGAGATTGAATATAATGATAAAAGATGGGATTTATACATTCGTTTAAAAATATTCAGTGAAGTAGAGTTTTTTTATATTAAATGGGATTTTTTTCCACAAAACTGGCCCTTTGAAAAAAAATGTATTTTTTAAAACATTTTTTAGAAAAAGAAAATTACCAGCATTACGGGTTTCATAAGAATGTATTTCATAATTGAAAGTAAATTTACATGACATGGACCTTGGCAATAATCCCTTAGAACACATAAACTTAAATATTAGAAAATTAATTTTATTTATATCATAAAAATGTATGCTTTAATTGTTAAAAAATGGCAAAGTGTGGGTATTGACGAAATCAATATACCTAGATTAAAACATGCTTGGGCAGATTGGGCTCTCTCGGCCACGAGTCCGAACTCTGGAATGAACTCCCTCTACAATTACGTCAACTGTCGTCAATAGAAACATTAAAATCACAACTGAAAACTTTTTGTTCCTTTCGTTGTAATTATTGCAATATTCTAATTTACTATGTCTAGGAGTAAGTGGTCTGTCATCAACAGATCACCTATTGATTTCGTCACAATTTTATTTCTTCTTTATTTTTTATTTATTTCTCCACTTTTTTGTGCAGACGATAACACTTTGATCGGTATAGTAAATTCCTTTCAATTTTGACACAGTCATAGGTCATCGTCCTAAGATGTGTCCACAACATTTTCAAGTTCATCAAAATATTGTGACGTCATCAAGGCGCCATTTTGTGAAAATCAACTCATGATCATATCTTCATAACAGAAAGTCATTTCTCATTCATATTCACATGCTCGGAGACCCCCCCCCCCCCCGCATTTGTTTTAAATATTTGGATAGAATATGAGTCAGAGATATGATTTCATGTCTCATTTGGGCATTAAGTATATCATTAGGTGGTCTGTCATCGACACCTATACTATTGATTTCGTTAAAATTATCTTTCTTTCTTTCTTTATTTATTTATTAGGTGGTCTCTCATCGACAGACGTCCTTTTGATTCTGTTAGAATTTTCTTTCTTTCTTTATTTCTCCACTTTTTTGTGCAGAAGGTTTCTCAAAATCGGTTCACCCAATTTCTTTCAATTTTGGCACAGTCATAGGCCATTGTCAGAAGATGTGATAGCAACCTTTTTAAAGTCAACAGGTCTTCATGACGTCATCTAGGCGCCATTCTGTGAAAATGAACTCATGATTAATCCTTCATAACGGAAAGACATTTCTCATTCATTTTTATCATGAAAGAGGTCAATATCCGTCTGGTCAATTTTAGGACAATAAACGCCCTCGTACGCCTGCGCGTAAAATTTCAAAACGCCAAAATCACTTTTTAGTCAAAGTAGAGAACGTTTCAGGCCAATTTAAGCATTTATAAACGCTGGTATATAAACTAATATAAACATTTCTTCTTTTCATGCGAGAGTTATAAAAACTGATATATCAGACCATTTTCTTATCTTTGTTGCCTAATTTAAACATCTTATGAAGGCTAGTAAAACAATCCACAAACAAATCTGCGTCTCATACCTTCATAAATTATGATAGTAATAAATTTCATGATAATCTAGGTAAATCTTATTGGAATAATGTAAGAGGTTGAACAAAATGTAATGATATATTTTACGACTTGTTTACGCAAGTCTGTGACAAGCATGCAACAATTATGTAATCAACTTCGAACAACCTGAATAGGGGAATATACTGGGAGAAAACCATGGATTTTAAAATCGGTCAACAAGAACCTCAACTTTTATTCTAAACTAAGGGCATCAGCATTTCAACAGAAAGACGAGGAAGAATACAAAATGTACAGACATATGGTCTCCGAAATGCAAAGAGACAATATTACAGTATTAAAGGTATTACAAACTTTTGGCAAATTTTGAAAATTGGGTGGATAGTGATTCTTTACAATTTCGATATATTTCGATGCCCCTATGGATGTATCATAAGCACTAAAAATTTTAGCCCCTAAAACACTTCTGCTTTTGAGAAAAATTGGATATAAAAATTTACCGGTGCTCCCGGTAAATTTTGATAAATTTCAAATAGCGCCTACGGCCATTCGATGGTAGCTGCGACCATGCAAATCTGAGAATATGCAGTTGTGATATATATTTTCCAAACAGTTAATATAGCAAATCGGTCGATTTTAGTCAAATAACATTGTTTTATAGCTAAATTAATATCTTGACCGTGAGAGGGCGCTATACAACATAAAGAGTTTATTATTTATAATTTCATCACTTTAGACTCGATTTCAGCCACGACAACGATCACTGAATATTGTAGGACAGCATATGCTTCCAATATGTTCATTAGACTCGATTTCAGCCACGACAACGATCACTGAATATTGTAGGATAGCATATGCTTCCAATATGTTCATTAGACTCGATTTCAGCCACGACAACGATCACTGAATATTGTAGGACAGCATATGCTTCCAATATGTTCATTAGACTCGATTTCAGCCACGACAACGATCACTGAATATTGTAGGATAGCATATGCTTCCAATATGTTCATTTGAACCAAATTTATGACCCCATACCAAAACTTTGTATTACCTCTTCTTCATTAATAAGAATGATAGTTGTAAAACGTGTAAAATCATTACAAGTTGTTGAGTGGTAGAAATGTCATGAATAAAGTGACCAATGTAGATAAATTATGAACTTTAGGTAGTAGAGAAAATAAAGTGATAATATCTGACAATACAAATTTAACAAGTTTATTGAAATCATAGGCCGTAAGCTGGCAATTGAAATACCAGCAGTGAATTTTGACTTACAGAATAAGGACATAGAAGAGAAAACTCACTATTTTACAAACCAATAACAGAGGAAGAAGTGAAATGCCCCTCACAGAGCTAATTGGTGGTATCATCGCAGATATGCATAATGCCTTAACTAGTACGCAATCACCATTAGTGAGTTGTAAGTTGTGCAGATGTTTTAATAGGGAAAATGGTAGGTCTAAAATACATGTTTGTATCGGGAAAATATCCGTTGAAAATGCCATTTTCGAAAACAAAATCATTGAACCAGCAAGGTCTGTATAATTATGGTCTTGTCGATTAAGTGAAATTGTAATTAATGTTAAGAATAATGTTCTTTTATCCTATTGTTAGACCATGCTTTTTAACTTGTATACAAAATGTGAATTTTTCTATTGTTTTGACGATCCTCGCCAAGTGCCGCAGATTCATCGCTTCATATAAGTAAACTTCATTTATGGGTATTTTTTTGTATGTCACCAACTTTTCCGAGCAAATTCATTGAAAAGCTTTTCAGTAGTGCAAAATAGAAGCGTTAACTGTCCAGTAATAGGTTAACGCTTAGTACAATATTTTCCATCAAACTTGTAAGAATGATTTGAAAGAGAACTCGTTCGCCTTCGCTAATAGATACTGCATGGTGCAAATAACAAACATGCCAAAACATGGTTACACATACACGTCTACTGACCATACCAACTTACAACATAAATATTATATTTACCTTTTTGTTTAAAATTGTCATATAATGGAAAATCAATTAGCCCTTTAAGTCAAAATAAAATCATTATAATCAGGTATCATACATAAATTATATCTTCTATCAAACTTGGATTTCTGAACATATTTGGCACTTTGGCAGATTTATGTTTCAAGTTTAAAGGGGAAAAACGCCACCCGGCCATATTGCAAAGACCTAGACAGTTTCAAAAATTTAGCTTCAGAGGGGGGAATGCCCTCCTCAGCCACCCCCTGCGCTTGCAATTGAAGCTGGCGCGTTCTGACGCTAAGGCGTGAGCGTAAGGGGCGGCAGGGCGACTTACAAAGTGGGGGGGGGCACCCCAAAAAAGGGCACCTACAGAGTGAAATCTCAAAGCGAAAATATACATTTGTTTAGACATTGGTAGGTATATACCCCTACACTGTGATGATATTACTTGTTTTTCTTTATATATTATACAATATATTGCAGCTAGGTGAGATGATCTGAATATTCATTTGCGAGCGAGCAAAGCGAGCGATAATAAAAAGTAAGATCTGTGAGGTCGCAGTGCGAAAAATTACATGTTATAAAGAGGAAACCCCCAATCATGATGGGGTTATAAGCACATTCTCATAACGGCAGACTAAAAAGACCTTGAGTAATAAATTAATTGTATCATCTATAAATCAGTGGCGGATCCAGGGGGGCCGAAACGACCGCGCCCCCCCCCCTATTGGCGGCGCAAAAAAAGGGGAAAAAGAGGAAGAACGAAGAGAAAAAAAGAAAGGAGAAGAGAAGAAAAAAAGGAAAAGAGAAAAGAAAGGAGAAGAGAAAAGAAAAGAGAAGTGAAAAGAAAGAAGAGAAAAGAAACAGAAAGAGAAAGAGAAAAAGGAGAAAAGAAAAAGAAGCCCCCCCCCCCCACTCCCTCCCACTCCAGGGTCAGAGGTTCCAAATTTGTGTTCCCCAAATCTCCGATAAAGGGTTACTTTTCATGCAACAAAGTCCGGCCCGTAATACACAAAAATTAACGATAGGGCCGCTTCACAACTCTTATTTTGCCCTTCATTTGGATTCAGCTCATACCAACTCGCTCGTACATATTGTCCTATGGGATTTTCTAGAATGCATAATGTCAACATTGCAAAATCTCGCTTGGCCGCTACGCCCCGGACCTCGCCCGATAACACAAAACTATGATATGATGCTCCCGGCCGTGATTTATCCATGGTTGGTGTAACAGATCTTTTTTCTTCTTTCATTTTTACTAACTTAATTGAGTGCTATCACAATCATGATTGTTTCATTTTCCCTTTAAAGCAGGCGCGTAGACAGGGGCGGTAGGGGCAGTAAGAGGACAGGACGAAAAAGGAGCAGACAAAGAAACATTTTTGAAAATTCTGACAAGTCGAGAACAGTAGGCCTACAACGAATCGTCTTCTTTCTCTAATAATTTAATGAAACGTTAATAGCTTCCACGCAAAGCGCGGGAGGGGGACTCAATTCAGACAAGGATAAAGAGTTGTGAACGGTACAACGAATCGTCTTCTTTCTTGAATAATTTAATGAAACGTTAAGCTTCCACGCAAAGCGCGGGAGGCCGGGACTCAATTCAGACAAGGATAAAGAGTCAAGAACGGTACAACAAATCGTCTTCTTTCTTGAATAATTTAATGAAACGTTAAACTTCCACGCAAAGCTCGGGAGGCCGGGACTCAATTCAGACAAGGATAAAGAGTCGAGAACGGTACAACGAATCGTCTTCTTTCGTTCATAATTTAATGACACATCGAAGCTGCCAATCTCCGCGCGGGAGGGGGAAGACTGCTTTCAGACAAGGCTTAAGAGTCGAGAATGGTACAACGAATCATCTTCTTTCTCTAATATTTTAATGAAACGTTAAGCTTCCGCGCTTTGCGCGGGGGGGGGGGTGGGAACTGAATTCAGAGAAGGATTAAGAGTCGAGAATGGAACAACGAATCATCTTCTTTCTCTAGGAATTTCATTAAACTATGAAAGGTCAAAGCTTCCGCGCAAAACGGGGGGAACTGAATTCAGACAAGAAATAAGAGTCGAGAATGGTACAACAAATTGTCTTCTTTCTCTAATAATTAATGAAAGGTCAAAGCTTCTGCGCTTCGTGCGTAATGGGGGAGGGGGGACAGCAAGCTGTCCGAATATGAATTTTTGATATCTTTCCTCGTTTATTTTGGTGATAAATAACACTTTCACAAAATACATATTATGCTCAAATTTTTGCTCGCTCGCTTCGCTCACTAGCCGATTTGTGAAACCACAAAATTATTTGTTGGGGCTAGAGGCTATAGCCCCCCCCCCCCCCCCACGATGAAAATGTCAAAAATTGTACAGGTATAATTATAATAATAATAATAGTGGCTACTTGTCAGTATTGGTATGCTGAGTTGAAAAAAAATGTCTGCGCAATTTTCAAATTTCCGGCCCCCCCCCCCCTATTGGAAAATCCTGTATCCACGCCTGTATAAATGCGAGCGAGCGAGCTGTGGGGGAAATTACTCCTAGTCGCTTTAAATTAGGGGCATGTTTATATACTAAGGTCAAGGTACAAAGTGTAAATATCCAAGTTTAAAATGGGCCACTTCTTATACCTGAAAGGAGGCACTCTCCAGAGATGAAAAGGGGCACTTATGAGAATGGGAAATGGGCATGTGTCGACTGAAAAGGGGCATCCATCAGAATTTGATAGAGGTATTTATCAGAGGTGAAAAGGAGCATTTATGGGCACGTGTCAAAATAAAGGGGCAGTTATCAGAGGTAAAAATGGGCACCCATCAGAGATGAAAAGAGCACTTATCAGGAGGGGAAGGGATACTTTTCAAAGTAAAATGAGCATCTCTCAGATATGAATAATGGGGCAATTATCTGAAGTGAAAAGAATGAACTTCTTGTATTTGAATATTTACCAGAAAAGAAAAGGGACACTTATGAGAATGAAAAGGGACAATTTTCATAGGTGAAAATGGGCATTTATGAGAAGGGGATGGGGCTCTTATTTTAAATGGCCCTTAGCATAAGGAAAAGAGGCTTGTTTAGAAAGGAAAGAGGGCATATGTGTAAAAAAAAAAGGTGCACTTATCCGAGTTAAAAATGGGTAGCGCTAAAAGGGGAGCTTTTGGGGTACTTGAAAAAGTGGGGGGACTGTGCCCCCCCCCCGGCAGGACCGCCTCTGCGCTTCAGTAAATCATCTCCCCTATATGCTAACAACAGATCTTCTCCAGTGCATACTACCATGGATAAATCACGGCAGGGAGCGTGGGCGGAATGTCATAGGCCTATCATTGTTTTGTGTTATTGGGTGAGGGAGCGTAGCAACCAAGCGAGATTTCGCAATTTTGAATGCTGAAATTATGTATACTAGAAAACCCCAAAGCTAGGATCGCCGCTCCTGTCCATGATTAATACCAACATGAGTTCAAATACCAGCACAAGTGAGTTGGCATGGGCTAATGCAAAATGAGTAATATAATAGTAAAGTAAAAGAGTGCATTTATGCACTTAATTTAACCCCCTTCCCCCCTAAAAAAGAGATTGAAAAGCAATTGACAGGTAGCTGTCCTTTAAAATTCAACAGTCAACAGGTTGTATCGTTTGTGAAATACATCTCTATTTATTTATTTTTGCCACAAAACCCAAAACATTTTCATTTTTTATTTGTTATACCAACAGTCCAGAGAAAAGTACAGATTGCCAGCATAAATTTAATGGAGTAACTTAACACTAATATGTCCCTGTAGCGACACCCCTATCCTTTCTTTTGTTACCTTGACAGAAATCGGAGGCGAAATCAGGCCCGAAGGAGGTGCAAAATTCTATGGAACAACTCGGGAGTTCCGGCTGCGGTCCACATCGATCTATTGGAAAGAAATAAGAAAACAAAGTTGTTGACAGTAGAATCTATTTCCTTATGTGATCTATCGAACATAACAAAACACAATCAACACCAAAAAAAAAACAATCGGAGGCGGCCCCCCAAAAAAGGAGCGGGCCCCCGGGGACGCTAAACATGAATATTTGTTTAAATGGCCTAGGAACATAATATGGTGTCAGGATTTGGCAGCCGGTGTTTGTGCAGAGCAACCCAGCCTAGCTACACTGTATGTGGAGGAATCATTGAAATCAGTCCAGTTCAGTCCAATTCTTCTTTGTGACGTGAGAGATGATGAGAGGGCTAAGAGTCCAAGTGTATGTCCACTGAATTTAGTTAAATGTCCATAATAGTTGGCGCTGTCGTTGTATGGATTGGAGTGCAAAGTTCTGCGATGGGCCATTTCCTATGGTGGCTCCTAAATTGTGGCATAAATTTGTCATATACCTTGGCTATGCAACAATTTTTTTGTTTTCGACGTCCAAGACGTGAAAATCAAAAAATGATATGTTCCTATGCTTGGTATTGGTTTTCATTTTTTACGTCCAAGACGTGAAAAACAAAAAATTGACGTATATCTATGCAACAAATCGTTTGTATTTTACGCCCAAGACGCGAAAATAAAAAAAATAGACATATACCAGACGTGAATATTTGACGCAGATTTTCCACAGGATTTTCACGTCTGCGTGTCCCTTCGGGGCTAGTACAGAAAAATGAAAACATTACCAAGCAAAGGTACACATCATTTTTTTAAATTTTCACGTCTTGGCCGTAAAAGACAAACAATTTGTTGCATAGGCATACATCAATTTTTTTGATTTTCACTTCTTGGACGTAAAAACAAAAAATATTTGTTGCATAGGTATACGTCAATTTTTTGCGTTTGCTTGTCCCTTAGGAGCCACCATACTTTCCAGTCTAACGGGCAGTAAGAGTGACATCGATGGTACATGAACATACAGAATCACTCATCAGTGAAGGTTTAATAATTGAACTTAAAAGTTTAAGTAATTTTTGCAAAGATACAAAAAAGATACTTGTTATGCTGTTCATGTAAGTGAATACGTACAATAGGCTAGACTAAAAAACAATAAGATACAAAATGGCAAACATGGCAAATCAAATCAGGGCTGTAACCAGAGTTTGATGGGTTTTTTTTTTTTTGGGGGGGGAGGGGTCTACAAAAGTTCAACCAATCTTGGCAATTGTTTGGGGGGCATGTGCCCCCCCCCCCCCCCCGTGGCTACGGGCCTACTGCCAATATCTCATACACCGATCCCAACACGTCAATACTGCAAGATAAGCAATCTATAATTTACTATAGCCATGTTCTCTCGACATACCAGCTAGAGCTCAAAATTAGCTTTAAGGAAACATTTTCAATCTGTTTTAATAGAAATATCTAGAATAAAAGAGTGCATTTATGCACTTAATTTAACGCCCTTCCCCCCTTAAAAAAAGAGATTAAAAAGCAATTGACAGGTAGCTGTCCTTTAAAATTCAACAGTCAACAGGTTGTATCGTTTGTGAAATACATCTCTATACATTTATTTTTGCCACAAAACCCAAAACATTTTTTAAATATTTTGTTTATACCAACAGTCCAGAGAAAAGTACAGATTGCCAGCATAAATTTAATGGAGTAACTTAACACTAATATGTCTCTGTAGCGACACCCCTATCCTTTCTTTTCTTACCACAGAAATCTAAGGCAAAACTAGGCCCGAAGGAGGTGCAAAATTCTATGGAACAACTCGGGAATTCCGGCTGCGGTCCACATGGATCTATTGGAAAGAAATAAGAAAACAAAGTTGTTGACAGTAGAATCTATTTCCTTATGTGATCTATCGAACATAACAAAACACAATCAACACCAAAAAAAAACAATCGGAGGCGGCCCCCCAAAAAAGGAGCGGGCCCCCGGGGACGCCAAACATGTATATTTGTTTCAATGGCCTAGGAACATAATATGGTGTCGGGATTTGGCAGCCGGTGTTTGTGCAGAGCAACCCAGCCTAGCTACACTGTATGTGGAGGAATCATTGAAATCAGTCCAGTTCAGTCCAATTCTTCTTTGTGACGTGAGAGATGATGAGAGGGCTAAGAGTCCAAGTGTATGTCTACTGAATTTAGTTAAATGTCCATAATAGTTGGCGCTGTCGTTGTATGGATTGGAGTGCAAAGTTCTACGCTGGGCCATTTTCTATGGTGGCTCCTAAGGGACACGAAAACGCATGAATTTGACGTATACCTATGCTTGGTAATGTTTTCATTTTTTACGTCCAAGACGTGAAAAAAAAATTGACGTATACCTATGCAACAAATTGTTTGTCTTTTACGCCCAAGACGTGAAAATAAAAAAAATAGACATATACCAGACGTGAATATTTGACGCAGATTTTCCACACGATTTTCACGTCTGCGTGTCCCTTCGGGGCTAGTACAGAAAAATGAAAACATTACCAAGCAAAGGTACACATCATTTTTTTTAATTTTCACGTCTTGGCCGTAAAAGACAAACAATTTGTTGCATAGGCATACATCAATTTTTTTGATTTTCACTTCTTGGACGTAAAAACAAAAAATATTTGTTGCATAGGTATACGTCAATTTTTTGCGTTTGCTTGTCCCTTAGGAGCCACCATACTTTCCAGTCTAACGGGCAGTAAGAGTGACATCGATGTAACATGAACATACAGAATAACTCATCAGTGAAAGTTTAATAATTGAGCTTAAAGTAATTGTTGCAAAGATACAAAAAAGCTACTTGTTATGCTGTTCATGTAAGTGAATACGTACAATAGACTAAAAAACAAAAAGATACAAAATGGCAAACATGGCAAATCTCAGGTCAACCTCCTTCACTCGACTTAAAGGAAAATATTTCCGAGAACGTCTACTGTAGAAAAGTTTCAAACAGAAATTCACTGTACACAATGTTGCCTCAGGAATGTCTGGTAAAGATGAAAAGTCACAAACATCAATGCTTCTACAAGTGATTGGCGATGCTGCCTTGGCATTGCTGCCTTGGCATTGTATATTGTGGAGGGTGAGAGCATGAAGCTTGAGAATGTGTAGAACAAATATGAGGAATATTGCATGCCGAAACATAATCTGACCCAATAAAGGCAATAAACAAATTCACGTGAAAATCAAGTCAATATCAAGGTATCGACTCAATGACATTTACGTGATTGTGTTTAACATTTATTGCACTAGAACACTTAAAAAACTCGTACACTAAATCACACCTAACCTATTGGACAGACGCCATCTGCGCCGCAAGGTGCTCCTACGAAACAGAGAGACGGGGCTGGCGGATCACATGGAACTATTGGAAAGAAATAAGAAAACACAGTTGTTGACAATAGCATCTATTTCTTTATGTGATCTATCGAATATACAGTGAGATATAAAGTGGATGAGACAACCAATTAATGTGAAGCTTTAAAATTCCTTGTTCCTCCTATATATTTGATGCTTCCTTTTTTGTATCTCCGGGAAGCTCCAACACCGGCGCCGGTGTTGGAGCTTCCCGGAGTTACCTTTATCTGTGGAAAGTACTACACAGCTTTCAAAAGCTTGTCTACGCTGGAACCGAGACCTAGTCTTAATACCGGACATGTCAAACATGTTTCCATATACACTTATACTAACTGTAGTGATAGCTAGTTAAGAAAGTCTGCGAAAACAGACCCCCCCCCCTGGGAATAAAAACGTGTAAAAACACGTGATTTTTAGTTTTTTGGGGATGCCCCCCCCCCCTTGAGCGCCACTGCATGGCTCAACTAACCTGAGTCTCCCCTTGTTTTATAACTAACCTGGCATAAATCATGGGTTGCAGGGGGGGGGGGGGTGCAAATTTGCAAATTTTCGGGAGCAAAAAAAAAAAATGCCCCCCCCCCTGAGAAATCCTGGATCCGCGCCTGAGTTGAGCTGGTTGGTTGGTTGAGCCACCCCCACTAAAATTGTATGGATTGTAGTGCAAATTTGTGCGCCGGGCTATCTCCAATCTAACGGGCAGTAAGCGTGACATAGATGGGACATGAACATACAGAATAACTCATCAGTGAAAGTTCAATAATTGAGCTTAAAGGTAAATACCAGTTCTGGTCATGCGATTTCATTACTTGTGAAAGAAACGTTGTGGAATCGATCAGAAAAGGTTGATTATCACAAACAAGTTGCGATTGATGTCAACTCTTTGTAAGACGGGCCCTGCATGATGACTCGTTTGATGTTGGGCTCAATGACAATAACACTAATTTAAAACCTCCCTCATAACGAAAGAGCTTGAAAATGGCAATCTTTACAGATATCTTCATCGGGAAAAAAAGATATTCGACAATTACGATGCAAGTAGTGATTTTTCAAGGCAAATTGTTTTACAATGGTAAACTTCAACTTAAATTCCAGTGGGTCTTTTTGTTCAAAAAATCAAAAAGACGACAATAGGTTCATGAACAAAACGAATCAAACAATTACTGCACCTGCACACACCGATATGCACACACTTGCAATTTCCTTTTCTGGTTCTGGATTTTACTCCGACAAAGCGGGATCCCGCAAATTTTTATTTAGATTCTCTCTGCATTTGTTTGCCTATGGAAGGTGTATTTCTACATGACAGTGTTTTTTAAGCAGTATCTCGCTTAATTTTTTGCTCCATTTTCTCCCGAGTTTTGATATAATAGTTGAGACTATCGGCTATAGGGGCGTGCCTTTTGTCTGTTGAACTTATGTTAGGATCATGTCAAAATTTACAATTGAAAGTTGAAATTGCGACTATGCCAAGGCAATTTGTCAGCTGTGCATGTAAAGTCTATGAGAAATATTTTGGTCCATCGGTTAAAGCATTTGCCTCCCATTCAATCAACCTAGGTTCGAAGGTTCGATTCCTAGTGGGTTAATTTTTTGTGTGGTTCCATTTCACATTTGATTTTATCACCTTCTTTGCCTATCATAACATATTATACAATCACAAACAATGTATAAAATGCCTAATTTTGCGTGTTATTTCTTTGGGAGATGCATGTCAATAGTGTGCGTACAACCTATGGGAAATCGGATTCCTCGTTGTTGATTAAACATATAGGGTTAATCTCCCAAGTTTAAAACAATATCAAATCGTCCCATTTATATGATGCAAGTCTTCTTTCCAGACGTTTATAGTTTTCAGTTATTCAGCCCATGTATATGCAATATTTACGTCTCTCCCTCGGACATTTACATGTCTATACTTCTCTCTTTCTTTTTTCAATTCTATTAATGCTGGAATGCATCGTTTTCCATTGCATCTCTCTCTCCTCTCTCTTGCTCTGTTTCCCTTCTCCTCTCTTGTTCTGCCCCCTCTCCTTCTCTTGCTCTGACTCTGTATATCTCTCTCTCTCCCTCTACCTTTTCACCCTATACCTCTCTCTTTCTCCATCTACCTCTCGTGTCTTACCACCTTCTTCTTCTCTTGCTATGTCTTGATCCCTCTGCCTCTGCCCTTCTCTTTAAGGACCATTACAAGACATACAAGCGGGAGAACGAGAATCAGAGATGGGAAAGGGGGAAGGTGAGAGAGAAGAAAAAGAGAAGGGCAAAGGCAGAGGGAGACATAGCAAGAGAAGAAGATGGAGGCAGGGCAAGAGAGGTAGATTGAGAAAGAGAGAGGTAGAGGGTAAAAGAGTAGAGATAGAAAAGGAACTATGTCCCATCTGCAGGCCAAAAGATGAAAAGGTTAAATTCCAACGGCATTTGAAAGATAATACTAATTTAGAACTTCCCTTAAAAAAAAGGGGGGGGGGGAGGCTTGAAAATGTCTTTAAGTGGGGAAATAACGACTATTAGTTGTCGAATCGACGTGCTACCAAGTCAGTAAGTAATAGTCTGATTTTCAGACCATTGTACCGAATAGTGGTACGTATTGTGCTGCGCAAAGATTCAATCAGTTTAATTTTGGCCATGACAAGAAGTGGGTTATTGATGTAGACAAATAAATGCTCATGTACCCTTTACAGCTCATTTTATGTATGTTATTACCAAAAAAGAGAAAAAGCCAGTCACTCACTCAATAGTGTCTGACAGTGAAGTCGGGTTTCCTTGCATAATTTGAATATTAGGAAACTGCTAACATTTAAATTTCACAGATAGGATGTACATGACATATTCATAATTCCTGCAATGTTCTACAGAATTTGATGTTGGCTGCAAAAGGGACATATCTTTAATTTTCTCTAGCTCTTCTCTTCACCCTTTGTATTCTTATTTAACCCCTGTGATGTTTCCTTTCTATCCTCTCTCCTTCCGAGTGCGTGAATTCTGATTCCTCTTTTATCCCTCTGTCCAGCTCATGTATTTTTACATGACTGTAGTATCCTCTCTTGTTCTGCCCCTCTCCTTCTATTGTCCTATCTCTGCATCTCTCTCTCCCTACTCCTTCGCTCTCTCCCTCTACCTCCCTTGCCTTGTCTCCATCTTCTTCTCTTGCTATGTCTCCCTCTGCCTTTGTCCTTCCATTTTTCTTCTCTCTCACCTTCCCCTTCCTCGCCTCTGATTCTCGTTCTCCCTCTTGTATGTCTTGTAATGGTCCTTAATTTTCTCTAGCTCTTCCCTTTCCCCTTTGTACGTACTCTCATTTCACCCCTGCCATGTTTCCTTTTTATCCTCTCTCTTTCGAAGTGCATGCATTCTGATTCCTCTTTATCTCTCATTGTCCTGCTCATGGATCTTTTTACATGACTATATACGCCGTCTCCCTCTCTCCTTCTCTTTATCTATCTAATGCCATATTTCTCTCTCTCTCTCTCTCTCTCTCACTCTCTCTCTCTCTCCTTCTCTCTCTCTCTCCTTCTCTCTTCATCTCTCCATATGAGATCCGTAACAAAACCTCCAGACTACATCATTCGTCTTCAGTGACGAATTCATATCACGTTTTTGTTAATAGCGGTATAACTTAAAGGGCAAGTCCACTCCAAAGATAACTTACTTTCAATATAAGCAGAAAAATCAGACAAATCAATCAAGAAAAGTTTGAGCAAAATCGGGTAACTCATAAGAAAGTTATGAATATTGAAAAAGAATGTAAAACTAAAGAACAATGGAAATCCCTACACAAATTGCCAATTTGGTTATCAGTTTGTGACGTCATGTCCTCACTATTTACCAATTGCTTTATATAGTTAGATCACATTAATTTTTCGTTTTATCCCCAAAAACTTGATGTCCCCATATATGCCTTCGCCCAGGTGATGATTTGTATCATAATGCGTGCATGACATTGCACAAAATCTTTGATGAACTTTGAAGAATTGATACAATTTTGTGAATAATGTATATTCATAACTATTGACTTTTATCTTAATAGATTATCAAAATTTAGATTTTTCATGATTTAATTGTAAAAAAATACTCTATAGTAGTGCATCCACACAAAAACACATTACCATCGATCTAACTTGGATGCTGGTGTGAAGAAATAAGATTCTTGGGGGGAACATTTATATTATCAAGATAAAGAAAACAATTAGTGGACAGTTAAGACTTGACGTCACAGACTCATAAGTGAGTTTCCAGTTTATCTTGTGCTTTTCATTGTTCCATAGTTTTACATACTTTTTCAAAAATTCTTTCTTATTAATTCTTGAGGATGTTGATTATATACTGCAGGCAGAACCGACCTCGGATCTGCAATATTGTCCCGGAATATTGTCACACATAATGTTTGTTTGTTTACATAGATAGAATTTTATCAGTAATATGGAAAACTAATTCGTACTCTTTATTTCCAAAAGAGAAAAGTTCTGGTTACGGTATACAGAGACTGATCAAAGGGAACATATTACTGGAGTAAGAAGTGTGATCATTAAACTACTTACCCTTACAAACAGGAGCGTCATCATTGTACTGTCCATTATTACAGGTGAGCGTAGATTCACCAATGAGCGTGAAACCCTCGAAACATTCAAAAGTTAAAACATCGCCGTGCTCAAAGGTTCCAGATCGACTACCGAAGGCTGGCGTACCCGGGTCTTCACAGCCTTGAAAATGAAGAAGAAAAAAACTAGTAAGAAAGAATGATGGAACGCGAAGCTGTATAATGGTCAGTGCATGTTCTTGGCCAGTGGCGTTACTACAGAATGGGCATGAGGACTGGGGGCACATGCCGAATGGTAAAGTAGGGAAACACTGGAGAGAAAAAAATTGAGTAAGAAATATGATTCCAGTGCCCTCTCAATGCCCATACCCACAGTGCAATACTGTTCATCACAACAATTCAAGCAAACTAACAAACACGGCGCCCAATTCTTGGTATATACCTACTTTATTCTACTTTATTGCTTCATATTCATTCATTCATTCATTTCATTTATTTCATTCTCCATAAAAACATAAAAACATATAAACATGGTATACAAATAAAATCCCGATTACAAGAAAAATACAAAGGGAAGGAGCAAACAAAATTTTATGGGAATGTGGGGTTAACAAAAAGGACAATTAGCTTTATGTACGTCAACCCCTTAAAAAGTATACACTGTATTGTTGAGAAAAGAAAAAAGGAAAAGGAAAACCGAGATAATCTAAACACCAATACAAAAGAAGAAAACAAAAAAAGGAAGAAGGGAAGGGGAGGGGGAATACATTAAAAAGTGCATTAACTGAAATGTAACGTCATTTATTTTGAGATTGAATATAATGATAAAAGATGGGATTTATACATTCGTTTACAAATATTCAGTGAAGTAGAGTTAAATGGGATTTTTTTCCACAAAACTGGCCCTTTGAAAAAAAACGTATTTTTTAAAACATTTTTTAGAAAAAAGAAAATTACCAGCATTACGGGTTTCATAATAATGTATTTCATAATTGAAAGTAAATTTACATGACATGGACCTTGGCAATAATCCCTTAGAACATGTTTCGCCGAGCGATGATTTTTGCTTGGTTTAGATTTTCCCTTTTTTTGCTCTTAAAAGCTACCATAGGTTAAGTTCGGCACTGTCGCCATGTTCTTCAGTCAACGCAGTGCACAGTCGGAAATGTAGTCCAGTTTGACTCATTTACCAGTTAATCCGTCAGTTGCCATTCAAGTATTCCCGACGAAGTTTTGTCCCGCCACAGAAGTGAGTGTTTAGATTAATATAAACTGGAATGTGAACTCATAAAACAGAAAATAAGATAGATTCAAGTTGAACTGTAAAAAGAACTGTATTTAACTCATTAGCATAATGCACGTGTGGCATTAATCCCAAGATGGCTGCGCCTAAAATGGCCGCGCCCATGAGACGTACTTTTAGTCATGTGTTTTTCCAGTTAAATGATCATTGTAAAAGCAGAATTACAGTAATAGGCAAATATCGTTTTATGTCATTTACAGAATAAACAATGTATATTTATAGAAGTCCTGAAGATAAAGGATGTTTATAATTGTGCATGATAGAACCTTGGATTTTATGCAGTTTGTTTGGGTGACAAAAGTTGGTCTGTGGAATTTGATTTAGCTTGCATAAAAGTTGCAAGACACTATTTATTAACTTGGTGAAAGGTTAAAATTTGCACCTCTGGCATGTATTTAGAGTCAGAATTGAAAGACAGTGTTTAATCATTTTAAGAGTTAATAATGTAACTTGAAAGGCTTGCTGTAGTGCATGTGTGGATTACAGGAGTAGATTACAGATGTAAATTACAGGTGTAAATTACAAGTTATGCCAGATAGTTTATTTTGTATTGAAGTGTAATCTCTAGATTATTACTGGGAAGTTTTATGCAAGTCAGATATTTAAGTTTAATTCATCAAACAGGGTTAAATTGTATGAAGTCATTTTATAAGACAGTTTTTCTTAGGCGAGCATAAATATGCAAATTAAGCGCCTGTCAAAGTCAGTGAAGGTCATACAATACATTTAAAGTGGCAATCCATTGTTGAGGTTTTTAGAAGGAATTTATGCTATGAAGATAGATGAGAATTATCAAGCTTGTGTATGGATGCAAGATAAAGATGTTTACAGTTATTTTGGTTCATGCAAATTGGCATTAATCTGTTTAAAGGGAAGTCAGGTCTGTTTGAGAAACTCTGAAAGTATGAGTGTTTGAAAGTAATGCATATATTAGAGAATGCAAAAGGTTTTGTAGCCATTGGCTCTGAACATCTGATAGTTAAAGGACGAGGTCAAGATTGACAGTTAATAGTTCGGAAGCAAAATGTGTTTAAATGAATCTTTATAGATTACTTGGTTTATTCAGATGTTTGGTATTGTATCTCATGTCAAGAATGATATACTAAATCTGTCACTGTTATTTTATCTGTTTTTTACAGATCGAATAAATAAGCTTCACAGCTTAATATCTCCATTTACGGCTGGACTCCCAAACTTCATTTTTCCCTTTCCTCAACTATTCAGAACACATAAACTTAAATATTAGAAAATTAATTTTATTTATATCATAAAAATGTATGCTTTAATTGTTAAAAAATGGCAAAGTGTGGGTATTGACGAAATCAATATACCTAGATTAAAACATGCTTGGGCAGATTGGGCTCTCTCGGCCACGAGTCCGAAACTCTGGAATGATCTCCCTCTACAATTACGTCAACTGTCGTCAATAGAAACATTAAAATCACAACTGAAAACTTTTTGTTCCTTTCGTTGTAATTATTGCAATATTCTAATTTACTATGTCTAGGAGTAAGTGGTCTGTCATCAACAGATCACCTATTGATTTCGTCACAATTTTATTTCTTCTTTATTTTTTATTTATTTCTCCACTTTTTTGTGCAGACGATAACACTTCGATCGGTATAGTAAATTCCTTTCAATTTGGACACAGTCATAGGTCATTCATATTCACATGCTCGGAGACCCCCCCCCCCCGCATTTGTTTTAAATATTTGGATAGAATATGAGTCAGAGATATGATTTCATGTCTCATTTGGGCATTAAGTATATCGTGACATCATCATAATGGCCTTGGAAATCATATATGAATTTGGATATTATGACGTCAGCATATTTATAAAAAGTTGATTGTATGTCTGTCATTATTCATCAATTTACTTCTAAATTTTGATATGTTGTAGCTTAGACAAATTTCTACAAGACCTATTGACAATATTTTTGCAATGACGACCTTCGTCATTGCCTTGTTTTCGTTCACATTCTGCCCCATTAATATTCTTGTTTTCCTTATCGTCCAAAAATCCCATTCGTTTTGTACATGGTGCTTGTGATTCCTAGTTAGGTGCTTTCCTCATGCGCTTTTCCTTTCAAATTTCGTAGGCATCATCTCTAGCATCTCATCCAGGTCACTACATTCTTCGATTTTCGAAATCACTCATGCATAACCGTCTAGGCGCCATTTTGTCCGTTTCTGGTCCATTTAAAGGCCTTTCTTTCTTCCTTCCTATCTCCACTATCCTAGATCCTACAACCTTCTAACAAATTCCTCTAGATAGTCTAAGAGATGTTCTTTAATCTGCGACGTATAACCTGACCTTCAAATTGCCGTCTTCGTACTCGAAATTCAAATCTGAAACCGACTCCGTCAAAAATCTCTCAAATTCTCGAAAATTTGACCCCCTAAATAATCTAAAACTGCCATAACTTTCTCATATGAATTCCGTTTTGTATTTAAATCTCACAGTATCTTTATCTCATAATTGCACATAGCCATGCCAAATTTCACGCTCCAATGGCTTTGCACAACATAAATAGCGCCCTCTAAAGTTCTGGGAATTTGCTTTCTCTCTGTGGCCGTATCTCCATAATGGCTTGGCAAACCCGTACCCTTTTTTGGATTTAGATACTTGAAGATATGCCCTTTCCAGCCATATACAAAATTATATACCCTATCACTGACCAAATTTGAGTAAATTGCCCTCCAAACTCGCCATTTTCAAGAAAATTGAGAAATAACTTCAACTTGCTCTAAACCGGCGATCTTTATACCTACATCAATGAAACTTGGCAGACACATGTATCCATATACGTGACAACTGTCTAAGTTTAGTAAATTGTAATGCCCTCTTCGCCAAGTTATCGCCAAAAATGATGAATTTACTATGCTTTACGTATTAGCGCGTTTGATGCGTGCAGTACGTTTTGCGCAGATGACAATGGTGTCAAACTGACCGCACTAAAGTGCCCTTTCGAATGATACCAAGTATGGTATATGTTCACGCAGAAAATTGTGAGTAAATCGCATTTGAACAAGTACGAATTCCGCCGAGTTTCCATGACGTCATTTTTGCAATGACGAACCTTCGTCATTGCCTTGTTTTCGTTCACATTCTGCCCCATTAATATTCTTGTCGTCCGAAAATCCCATTCATTTTGCACGTAGTGTTTGTTATTCCTAGTTAGGTGCTTTCCTCATGTCCTTTTCATTTCAAATTTCATAGGCATAGTCTCTAGCATCTCATCAAGGTCACCTACTTTTTCGATTTTCGAAATCACTCATGCATAACCGTCCAGGCGCCATTTTGTCCGTTTCTGGTGCATTTTAAGGCCTTTCTATCTTCCTTCCTATCTCCACGATCCTAGATCTTACAAACTTCTAACAAATTCCTCTAGATAGTCTGAGAGATGTTCTTTCATCTGCGACGTATGACTTGACCTTCAAAATGCCATCTTCATACTCAAAATTCAAATCTAAAACCGACTCCGTCAAAAATCTCTCAAGTTCTTGAAAAATGGACCCCTAAATAATCTAAAACTGCCATAACTTTCTCATATGAATTCCGTTTTGTATTTAAATCTCACAGTATCTTTATCTCATAATTGCACATAGCCATGCCAAATTTCACGCTCCAATGGCTTTGCACAACATAAATAGCGCCCTCTAAAGTTCTGGGAATTGGCTTTCTGTCTGTGGCCGTATCTCCATAATGGTTTGGCAAACCCGTACCCTTTTTTGGATTTAGATACTTGAAGATATGCCCTTTCCAGCCATATACAAAATTATATACCCTATCACTGACCAAATTTGAGAAAATTCCCCTCCAAATTCGCCATTTTCAAGAAAATTGAGAAATAACTTCAACTTGCTCTAAAATGGCGATCGTTATACCTACATCAATGAAACTTTGCAGACATATGTATCCATATACGTGACAACTGTTTACCAAGTTTGGTAAAATTCGAATATGTCAGCGCAAAGTTATCGCCAAAAATGATGAGTTTACTATGGATTACGTAATAGCGCGTTCAATGCGCGCAATACATTGCGCGCAGTTAACAATGGTGTCAAACTGACCGCAATGAAGTGCCCTTTCGGATGATACCAAGTATAGTATATGTTCACACAGAAAATTGTGAGTAAATCGTTCACATCACGAATCTACATGACTTGCACAGGTGTTTAACATGTGTGGAAGGTGTATAATAAAAGGCATGAGTTCGCCCTCTAACTGAATATACAGTATAGTTTGTCAGTTGACGAAATCACATTAACAGGCTACTTTAACAACCGTCATCATCCCTATGACCATCATTATGATTAGCAATGTATACTGCAACATCAATTCGTCCTATATACACATTAGTGATTCTACTCTCCTTCAAAGATGTTAATAGTCTTCCAGTTATTCAGATTAAATAACAGACCACCTAATTATATCCAATAACGAATTAAATTTCTCGTTTTTTTTGTTTTTGTATTGTTCTTTTCTTTATTACATGTATTTTTCCCTAAGCGCCACGAGCACTGAAAGGTGGACCTGTGCGCTATACAAGTAGCCACTATCATTATTATTATTAGGTGGTCTGTCATGGACAGACCACCTATTATATTGATTTCGTCAGAATTTTCTTTATTTATTTATTTATTAGGTGGTCTGTCATCGACGGACCACCTATTGATTTCGTAAGAATGGTCTTTCTTTCTTTATTTTTTCTTTATTTCTCCACTTTTTTGTGCAGAAGGGTTCCAAAAATCGGTTCAGCCATTTTCTTTCCATTTTGGCACAGTCATAGGCCATTGTCAGAAGACGTGATAGCAACCTTTTTAAAGTCATCATGTCTTCATGATGTCATCTAGGCGCCATTTTGTGAAAATGAACTCATGATTAATTCATCATATAAACTGAAAGTCATTTCTCATACATATTTATCATGATGAAGGTCAATATCCGTCCGGTCAATTTTAGGACTATAAACGCCCTCGTACGCATACGTCCGCGCGTAGAATTTCAAAATGCTCAAAATCACTTTTTGATCAAAGTAGAATACGTTTCAGGCCAATTTAAGCATTTATAAACGCTGGTATATAAACTAATATAAACATTTCTTCTTTTCATGCGAGAGTTATACAAACTGATATATCAAACTAGACATATAATACTTGTTTGGAACAAGTATAGGTGGGCTGGTCAACTAAAATTTGAGACAAAATAGAGCAAAAATAAGCGACATACTGCTTACAAATTCTTAAAAGACAATATCATGTAGATTCATAACGTGAACTAAATTCACCTTCTATAGGCATAACACGCAAATTATGAAGTTTTTGACATGAGGCCTTTAACCAAAATTTTCACTATGATGACGTCATTAAAAGGAAAAATGGTTATTACTGCGCTTGTAGAGAATTGTCTTAGCTACAACATATCGAAATTTTGAAGAAAATTGATCAACATTTACAGAGATAAAATAAATTTTACATAAATATGCTGACGTCATAACATGCAAATTCGTATTTTGAGTTCCAAGGCCATTGTGATGATGTCACGATACACTTAATGGCCAAATGAGACATGGAATCATATTTCCGACTCATACTCTATCTAAATATGAAAAAAAATTGAGGATTCCGGTGCATTCCAAAGAGCTATAACGGATTTTGTATAGGCATGTTTTTGCCCATATATGCTATGTATTAAAAGAGCTCGCGCGCACTGACATTTATCTTGAATTTACGCTCATCTTGTTAATAATGGTCATAAAGAGATAAACATGGTATCAAATTCCTTGAAAGAATATGAGAAATATCATGAAAGAAAAAAAAATGGCGATTCTATGTTTGTTAATGGTGTTACGCGCGAAAACGCGCGCGCATGCTCGTACGCGCGATTTTTTATAAAATGCTTAAAATGACCTGAAACGTATGCAAAATAAATTTGAGACGATTTTGAGCATTTAAAAATTTTGCGCGCGCACTGACGCGCGGACGTACGCGCACGCGCGCGTTTTTTGACCTGAAATTGACTGGACTGATATTGACCTTGATCATGATAAATATGAATGAGAAATAACCTTTGGTTATGAAGATATGATCAAGAGTTTATTTTCAGAAAATTTCACAAAATGGCGCCTAGATGACGTCATCAGTCAAGGTCAAGGTTGAAAACCTTACTGTGTTTTCTCCATATGCCTATACATATGTGTGCTAAATTTCAAGTTAT